TAAATACTTAAAAAAAATCCCAAGTAGAAGTGATAGCATTTGTTAACATGAAAGGACTAATTTAAATTATTTAGTGTGGGGGTACATCACCACAACTACAGAAAAAGCTAAGCCTGGCTATGCGCTTTATTCATTCCTATTTAAGCATAGCAAATGCATACACTTGAGGGTCCTTCAGCAGTGCAGTCTCCCCTGACCTCCAACACCCACATTCCATATTCAAAGGCAATTTCAGCATCAAATGAGTACAGTTAAAAACAGGGTCTCATTCTGACCCCAGCACGCCTGACAGAATCTGTAGGACTTGTCAAGGATGTTTATTTCCAGCAGCTCTGCATCTGGAATTTTGCATGAAAACCAGTATCTGATACTTGAACTAGTGTTTAGAAATTTATTTGTAGTTTTAACTTCTTTATCATGAGCATACATTTAATTCATAGAACAAGACTACAGCCTGCGGAACAAAGAGAATGAGGCATTGTCATTCCAGGTACAAATACAATAATTTTTTATAGAGGGCATTTCAAGTCATGGCCTTCAAAATGTTACTAAGTTTGACGTCTGTTAAGATGTTAACTCCACTAATCTAAATGCTTCTTTTTACTGCAGAAAGTCATCATCATCATCATCATCCATTCTGTTAAAATGTAGAGAATCCAAATTTACTAGAAAATTAGTCTGTCAAACTAAATTGTGTGGGATTACTGCTGGATATTCAGTCATAACTCCCATTACATCCCTGGGTTAAGACTTCAGTCTTTGTATGTTTCTGTCAAAGGCACGTTTATACTAAAATACTAATGTAAACATCTGATTTCTTGACCTCTTTCTATAGTGAACATGTGAAATATTAGTAAGTTTTGTTGCTATTATTATTCAGCAATACCATAAGCTCCTTAATTTCTTAGTTTTGGCTTGGAATACAGAATCAGAGCTTTCAGGCAACAATTTCACTGTGTTTCTGGAGAGATAAAGTCTGTTGGGCTGATCACACAAAAAGCTACCAGTTCCGAAAGTTTATCCCTCCTCAGTTTTCTTTCGAATGTTTAAAGGAAAAAAATAAATCCCACTTTAAAACGTACCATAAATTATGTTAGGACATGTGAAAACTTCAGTTAAATCTATTTGTCCCTCTATGTGATTCTGCCAACAGTATGAAGCTGCTTGACCCACTCAGCCAATATACAGCAAGCAGCGTGCTTCAGAAGTCCTCCCAAAGCAAGACGAGGTAATGACCTGCTTCGCTGCAGTTCTCCACTGTAACTTCTTAACGTCAGATTTTTCAAAAGACTTTTTCTCCTTAAACAGGCCTTGCACAGGAATGAAACCCTGTAGTAGGTCTTCCACTTTACTTCAGCCTTATCTTTAATGAAGAAGATACTTTTTCTTTGAAATTTCAAATATTTAAAATAAAAATAATTACCATTTACAAGTAACTTTTGGATATATTTCAAGAAGAGAAGACAGACAATGCTGTTTTGTGTCAATGATGTCTTGAACACGATTTTCTGTGCAACGGAACTTGCATGATGGGAGATGCAGCCCAAAGCTGAATGGGGCATGTTTGAGTTTGTACTTTGCATAGGTAACTGCTATAAAGATATGAGAAGGCCTTTTGCATTCCAAGTAAATCTACATTGATACATCATGCAGTCGTATTACATATGCAACATATGCTTAGAGTAATTCAAATTTTGAGTTGTCCAGAAAAATCATTCCTAATTAACCCCTGATGATCACAAATGCAGCTCTTTTATTTTCAGCTATTACCAAGGAAGATTCCATTCACAGGACAGTGAAGGCTAGAGCCTCATCACCAGAATGAGACCACACTAGAAGGAAAAAGAAAAGTGACAGGTAGAAAGCATACTTTCAAGATACAGACAGTTCAGACAGTGATAGTTGATATATGGTCTGAGCTCACCCAGGAAGTGCTAATTGCTTATTGCTGAAGTGATTATTGCTTTACTTTTTTGTAAAATTAGGGAAGAATCACCATGGGTAATTCAGAAAAAAAAGTGTTTCCTCCGGAATGCAGTAGTACTAAATAACCCTTTAGCAGAAACAGAGAGGAAGAAAATCTTACATACTTTTGCCTTTTAAGGGCTATAAAAATTGTACCAGTATGATAAGATACTGTATTTTCATTTAAATAATATCTACGTAAAACTTAAATTGACGTAAAAATTTCCAACTAGTTTACTGAAAGCATGGTCAATACTGTACTTGGGAGTTTCTATAAATAGATTACAATCATGCAATTTAAGACCAGATTTTGGAATGTGAAACACACAGTTATGTCACCAAGCACAGGTCATTGTCCTGTTCCTTCCAGCAAGAATGCAGCTATCAAGAACATTTCACACTCAGATCAACTGTGCATTTAAGTATCACTTGCTTTCAACACCCACTGAATAAAAATAGAAGGGGACAACAGAGAAAGCTAAAAAAGCACACAGTAATTTAATAATGTATTTTTAAGCTGCTGGCCCTCCCCCTGTATTTCCTGCACAATCTATGTCAATGCAAATTTCAGCATCAACTTCAGCAAAGCCAGAATTTAATCCACGGAGTTCATTCAAGAATTTTAAAGGGGGAAGGTAAAACAAACTCAATGACCACAACTAAAGAAATAAAAAAGATGACAAGGAAGAATATCATCTGCCTGCATCCTAGCACGTGTTTTGTCCCCATTAACTCCCCTCCTTAAAGACAGACAGTTCTTTTAAATGGTATTTCCCAGTCACTTAACCTCTTTGCCTCAGACTTCAGCATCTGCATAAAATCAGGAAACAAAAGCCTACTATCTCATGGAAATACTATGAGGATGCTTAAAAGCATGCTACTTAGTAGTATCTGTTCTGAATACTAACTTACCTGCACCCTCATAGATTTTTTTTCCTCAGTACTTTTAATTTCACAACAAACTATACATTAAAACAAGTTTTTAATTGATCAATACGTACTCTAAACTGTATGTAGGACTAAACTCAAGAAACGTAAGTGATACAGAAAAAAAAATTTCTCTTAAGAGGTAACCTTTCCCTTTGAGGATTTGAAAAGGTCATCATAAGCTGTTCGATACTGTCTAGTGTAGTATATAAAAAGCTTAAATGTTTAAACTTCTTTTTTTCTCCTTTCATGCTCTGGATAGCATGGCTTTGGACACTGAAAGGAAACTCACAGAAGCATCACTTGTTTAAAAACTATAAAATCCATAAATGTATCTTCTGAAAAGAAAAAATGCCTCTTGTACACAGTTTAAGCTACATAGATCTAAGGAAAATGGGAAACTATGATGTTATTTTCCACATGACATGCCAGTTAACACAAAAGTCAAACTTATGAATTTTGCAATAACGACCCTGAGTTGTTGAAGTGTACAATACCTCCCACAACTTGCACAGATACATAGAAGCATACATAAAAAATCAGCACTGCTGCGTGGATGCGAACAAAAGTGATTTTTGAAACTCTCATCAATTACTTCATCCATCCAAATGCATAAATAGACACTGGCATACCAGTTTTAATATACTGACAACAGGGTATCTACTTGTAGGACAGCACCCTGAGAATCACCAACAGAGGGCTGGGTCTCTGCCCAGGGCAGTGAAGATTTCCTACAAAACTGTGCTTTGTGTGCATTTACTGAATAACATGCATCCTATGATATACTGGAGAGTAACAGAAGATCCTGCTAAGCTCAAGCAATCGGCAGTAACAATACAACTCTGACAAACTCTGCTGCAGTGCTGACAAACTATTTTGATGTCTGGCAACAAACTTCAAGAAGTCACTGCAGCTCTCGACAGTATCTATGCTGTAAGACAAATGCACTGCAGACTGCAAGACACAGTCCTTGTTCCTCATGGTCTGGGACAGACTCCTGTTAACATTCTACTCTGTACAACCCTCCGTTTTGACAACTCTCTCTGGTTATAGTTTTATATAGCTATTACAGTAATTTACATTTTTCCTGCCTTACTTTACTCACACAAAACCATATTAAAAAATCTTTAAAAGAAACTGAAAGCACGCACACACACACATATTTTATCTGTTTGATCTATTACCCTCTCAAAGAAGGAATTTAAATTGATTTAAGCTTTTCTTAACTGACAGGTTATATTATATTTTGCAGAGATCTAAACAGACAACTGACTGGTAGGTTCTAACTGAATATGACAAAAATCTATACTGGGCTGAACAGAGTGCATTCAGAAGATCTGATTTTTATGTAAATGCTTATAAAAATTCAGCAGTCAGTGTTGAACAGTGCAGATGACTAATCCTCTACAGGTGACTAATTCAGTGATTACTATGTTCATGTTGATAACTATCATATCAATTAACATTTAACAAGCAGAGCTCTCAAAAATAAAAAGCATCAACAGATATTCAACTACTGGCAGAAGCAGAAGAAAGCATCATGAAAAAAGAAAAGTAAAATTACAGGATATTTTGAATAGTTCTGTTAACCAGCTTAAGTTTCTGAGGCACTGATGAGTTATTAGTCTCCTTCTTCGCTGATCTGCCAAACAGCTCTGCAACAACATCACATGGAGATCAGTTTGCTGGTTCAAGACACCTTGAAAACTATACCATCTAGTCACACAACAGTCTGCTGGTTCACAAGAGGAAAAATCAGATTGGATAAAATTCAACAAAACTCATGCCTTTATTACTATCAACCCACATCTGGTGAGATTCTCTTTCAGGTACTCCTTTCCCTTGCAAGTAGGATTCCATAGGCTTAACACAGATTGTAAAGGTCATTGGCAAAGGCTTTTAAAAAAATAACCTTTTTTTTTTTTTTTTTTGGTAGAAGACATTTTATGAAAAAAATACATAAAATTCATGCCAGTTGCTTATTTAAGCAGTCAAGGTTGTTGTTGGTATACTGTCTATACTGAAAAAGTATTTGTACCAGAAGACTTCTTTACAATCAGCAGTTGTGAACTAGCTTCATGTTCCCTTAAACTTAATTAAGGGTATCAGACTTAAACCATGCTACTTCCCCAATCCACTCATCTGCAGATTCAAGAAATCCCAATATTACCAGTAATTTTTTATGCCTGCAATACTGACCTAAGAGGTTTACACCACATTAAAGCATTGTTCTGTCATTGTTAAGAAACTGGCATCTGCAACTTCTAAATTATATTGAAATGGAAACATGAGAAAATAGAGTATCAAGTCACAGTTAATAGCAGCTGAAAACATGCTATGTCAAGCTCAGATGTGAATCAGGAAAGAAGCTGCTTAAATCCTGAGAAGCTGACTCTTGCGTCCTATCAAGCAAAGATTTTGCATAAATCCTCTCCTATCTGATTGACTCTATCATGACCTTGAGTCTAATCATTTTATGTCACCTAAACAGGAATAAACAGAGGTCCCCAACTAAAATTATTTTTATTTCCTAAACTCAAATATTTACAAGTCGTCAGACATGTCTTTATAGTCATGGAAAGGAACTTCTACACAATGCCCACTTCCTGTAAAATGTAGCTGCTTCTTAAGTGATCCTGGCATAAAGCACAAAAGCAATCACAACTTCCTTCTGGTTTTGGAAGCAGTAACCATGTAACTTGATACAAAAGAATTTTTCTTCACATCAAGTAACAGCTCACATTTTTTCAGGATCCAAAGCAGAACTGCAGTTATAACTTGCAAATGAAACCACTGTTTTTTAGACTCAGTTGTAAAGTAAGTATTTACTCTTTCACATCTCAGATTATTACCAAAACAGGAAAACATTTAGCAAAGTCATGCATGTGTAAAAATGAGATGTTAAACACTTAATTGATACAATACTTGAATTTCCGAAGACCACATCCCATGGAGAGCTGATAGGCTGTTCTTCCCCTTTTGCTCCACCTTCCCTATCAACACCTTGTATCCCAACACCTGCTGCAGTCGTCACCATCTCTAATTCCAGGTCAATCTACAAGAAGCAAAATTATACACACTGAATGTACACCATTAACTGAATTCTCTTCCACACACAACAAAAATTAACACTGCTTTGTCAAGGCTTGCTCAGCAGTTGTAGAAGAAAGCATTGAAATTTTCTAGAGAAATATTCAGATGGACAATGGACGTGGGTGTTTTATTTTAAACTTCTATAGGAATATGACATAAAAATTCAGATACTGTAACACTATCTCCCATCTCTATACAAAACAATCTGTACAAAGCAAATTATTTTTGCTGTTTATTTCAGGCCCTAGAGCAAAATATATTTTTATTTTATTTCATTTCTGCAACTTAAATCCCTTTATTTTTACTTCCCTTTTTGCTTATTTTCTAAGTGGCTTCCAATACCTCTCATGAATTGATAATCATGTGAAAAGTGAGTCTTTCATGCGTAGCATCTTCTAACTTTTGTAGCAGTAAATGCACTCTTTTTGCACGGCCTGTGGCCTGCACAACCATCTGAAAGCATGTCATGTAGCTGCTGTGTTACTTTAATTCTTGGATACACTCATGGCACGTTCAGATGAAAGGGAACAGCTAATTATCATGAAAAATGCTGAAGCAAAATGATCCAGATCTTCCAAACCTTTCTGTGTTGTCTTTGCTAACCTGCAACATTTATTTCCTGTGGCCACCAGGCTACAGTGATAAATATTAGAAAGATGAGGAACCTGGAGCAATCTACTCATTTTTAGTAACAATGATTCTTTACCAACAGGGAGCCTTGGTCCTTTGCAGAATAAAACCTGGCAGCCAACTACAATGAATACAGTGCAGGAAGTTTGTGGACTAGTGCTTTGAAATGAAACACAGAATGAACCTACTTAACAGACAAAGATATGCCAAAGTGAGTAAGGATGTACCTCCTCTGATCAAGAATCAATCATATTGGTGAGGATCTGAGTATAAGATTTTCTGAGATGCGTAAAACACTTTTAATAATAAGGTAATACTATACTGCTTCAACAAACTTAGCTTCTGATTATTCTAAATTTGACCTAACCAAATGTAAGATCCAATGACAATAGACAGAGTAACATTCCTACATGCTAAAACCTTGAAAGTCTTTCATCAAAAAAAATCCACAGGCAGACAATTCTGAAATTAAAGACATTACCTGTACTTTAGAGACTCAAACAGCTAACAAAAGTTTAAGTATTCAATGAACCATAGTAATACAATAACTTTAGATAAGAATCTGATACGACTGGAAGTGAAACAAAAACAATTTTTGCTTCCAGTACTAAGAATAGATGTTTCTCATAACAGGAAAGTAAGAGTCACTAGAAAAAAAAAAATCTCATCAGTTATGCTCAAACTAGTAGCACATATAATCTTCACTTGAAAGGAAGCACAAAAGTATATGTAGCCTTTTAAAAAACAAACCGCACAAAACATTTATTTCTAAGATATCAGGCCAAATTTCCTTCCTGATGTTGAGGGTATTTGGAGAGTAATTAATCTGGTGTAAATTTTCAGCTGTGTAAGTAGAATAAAGTATGAGAGATTAAATTTTGAATTTTTTCCTTATGGAAAATTTACCTTTCTAATTAGGTGATTTTCTGTATCAGCTACATAAATAACATTATTTTTTATAGCGATCCCTTGTGGTGAGTTGAAAGCTGCCTCTGAAAATCTTCCATCTCGCCTTCCACTGTTTGGACCTATAAATGAAACAAAGCCAACTCAAAAGTAATTTTAGAAAAAAATAAAGTACATACATTTAAACCTGTAAGAGAATTACATAGTCTAAGAGATGCTTTCACAGCACCTTGTAGTTTCCATTTTTAATATTTTGTGTAGTCTCATTTTAGTCACTGTGCTATGTAATTACAATAGCCTGGTGCTATTAAGTTTTGAACTCATTCTTCACAAGTTCTCCACTTCTTTAAGCTCATCTTCCAAAGAGAAGTCTTAATAGGGGTCTAAATTGCTCCCGTTCCCTTGCACTAAAGGACAACAGCAGCAGAAGACAGAAATAAAAAACTACATCTTTTCTTACTCCTGACTACATCAAAGGAAACCAGCAGGAAAAACTTTAAATTCCAAAGCTCAGTTCCATTTCAGTGGTTTAGATTTCAGTGTAATCACAAAGGAAACTAATATTTGATTAGCAGCATCTTCTCATTAGCTATAGTAATTGGGAAGAAGATGACATGGAACTAATTACAGAAAAGAACAGTGAGAATAATGGAGTGACAGTCTTCTGCACAGAACAATCAAGAAATAGAAAGGAACATGACCTGAACATCACAGTATGAAGGTAAGCATCGTATTTCAGAGGGAGTAACATTTAAAGTGCATTAGCAGTATGTGTCAGCCGAAGACATTTAGATATATGAGTTATGTGTGCATCATGATTTATGATGCAAATACAGTAATTTCAACCTTTGTGCTTGCCCACATTTATTACTGTATTATCAACTTCATTACTTTATTTTCTGCCCACTGAATCATTTAACTGAGTCACCGAAATACACCAACTTTGACAACCTACTGTCAGAAGACAATTTAGACCTTAACAGACAGGAAGCACTGAGGTGCTGGGGTGTGGGATTCCAGCAGTTCCCCTTGGTAAGCGTCAGGGTGCGCACCCAGGGGAGGGAATAGCACAGAGCGCCAGGGGAAGGAGGGGCATGGGTTCAGAGGTTAGGACACTGCCCTCTGAATTGCTACTTAATGACTATTCCAAAACACTAAAGGGGACCTTGCCAGCAGAGACTTCATCTCACAGATCAAACAGAAACCCAATTCCCTCACTTCTGCCATGAGAAATACTGTTTGTACTTCCCATAGGAGAAGGGTATTAAGACTAATGCCTTCATCAGGTTAACCCGGATAATTACTCTGTCTACCCAATGCACTGTTACTTCAAACAGCAAGAGATTGTCTTCCCTTCTTTAAACAGCATTGCCACTGGTTATGAGGTTTGTAGGATCCTGCATGGGACAGGCATTAGACCATACCAGACTAAGTAACAACAGGACACATCAGCATACAGGTCCTGACACTGAGACATAAACTGTTGTTTTCAATGATTTGGGGATTCAACCACTTCCTAAACCTGCCCATTATGGTTGCTGCTAGATGGACTGCCCTAACAGCTATGTACTTGGTGCATGAAGATGTAACTTTGACCACTGGAACAGATTAAAAAACCAGAACAAGTCTGAATGTTTAATTTATGAAAGAGTAAAGCACACAAAGAGTGTGCAAGTTCAACTACATTTTCTTGATTTGCATTGTAAAGCAGATAGTAATTTTACAAAAACAGTTAAAGAGATTAGTTTTTTAAAGCCAAAATGCTACTAGTATAAACTTTGTAACAAATGCAACTAAATTTAAAATACTTAACTTTCACTATTGTTATAACTTGTTTACGTGTTACACCTCAGTTTTGGTGAGAACACAGGCCTTTTCATGTACACTAAGGCAACTTGATTTTCAGGTGCCTATGTAGCAATGCAATACCACTGTTCTTAATATTTCTCCCCTCCTGTAAAAACAGAAGGGGATCCTATGAAGGGGATCCTATAGGCAATGCTCTTCATTTAAAAAAAACCCCAAACACCACCAAACAAAAAACACACCCCAAAACAGTCCCTACACAACTCCATCACCACAATTCAACATTCATTTCTTCTGTTGGGAAGGGGGGCATTATTAGTTCATATTGGACATTGCAAAAATACAAAACCTAGTCAAAGGAACAAAGAAAAAAAATTAAGACATCTCAAACAGTTGCATTAACAGAGTCTCCCATTGATGGTACTACACTATATCCACCCATAACCAGTAAAAGTGATTTTAGTAGGAAAAAAACCCAAAACATTTCTGGCAGTGTTTATAAACTGCTAGGTCCTCTAAGAAAAGAATCAGTCTAGTAGGCCCAGTGAACATACTCTACTCTTGAATTAAAATTACTATAATAAACGTATATAGCCTTACCTCCAATAGTGTGTAGAATTTGTCCATTTTTTTGAGTAACCAAAATCCTATGATGCCCAGTGTCTGCTATTACCAGCCTTTCTCCTGAATTATCTACAGTCACTTTGCCAGGAAACAGCAAGGGAGAAGGTGGGAGAGAGTCTCTGTATAGCTTTATTCCAATGCTGTTATCTTTAATTTGTCCTCTCTCCTTGTAGAATTTCAGTGTTATAGAAGTAAATAAAAACAACTTCTCTCTGTGTCCCTCTCCAACAAGTGAAAACAGCATATTTCCACGAGGCCCGAGAATGACCAGAGTTGGCCAGCAGGACACTTCTAGTTCATGCCACAGTGTTGCATCTGCATCATTTACTACAGGATGGACAATATTATACCTCAGAATGGCACTTTTTATGTTATCCAGAACTTTTTCGTTTGGGAATTTCGCTGAATGGACACCAACAATAATAAGACCATCTGAAAGGAAAAATAAAGTAATTTAATGCATTGAATGCATCGAAACATTTGTATTTGAATAAAAAAAAAAAAAAGCAAAAATCAAGCAGTTATCTCACAACATGACCAACTGCTTTCCAGAATGAAAGAGGATTTGAACAAACAAAAAGCAGTTACATCTCAGCCGGAATATAGCTAACTACATATACAAAATACTAAAACTCAGAAATAACATTTCAGTCAAATTACTGAACTTTAGGACTATTACTTCCCCAGCTGGTTGACATCTACTATGTCATAAATTGTTCTTAGTTCCTGAACCTCTACATACTAAGGTAGAAAATACTTTCCAAATAATGACGGGTAAGCTGTAGCAGTTCAACTGATACTTTTGAGTTTTTTCAGATGTTTACGATAACTCTTTGTCTTTTGATTCCCATACACAACTATGGTGTTTTAGACAATGAATTCTTTCCCACAGTTAACTAGGAATCACAAAAGTAACATTGAACTCTGGAAATCCAAAGTTACCTTGGCATATCTAACTCTAGACAAACAGTAAAAAAATAATATATAGGCTTCTGAAATCAATACACTATTCTGTATTTCAAATAAAAATGGCAGCACTGACAACTATGACAAAATGACAAGTAGCACTTGTTACAAACCAGGCAGGCTTGAACTCTTTTCTTAACAAAAAAACAAACAACAAAAAACCCAATAACCAACACAACCAAAAAACCCCAAAAAGAGGATTAAATAATGGATTTTTACCCCTCCCCTTAAAATTTTTAATTTAATTTCTATATTTAGTTAATAAAGACAATGAAGAAGGGTTTAGGTTTTCCCGTAACAGGGATAGCTGCACTTGAAATCCTAGTATGAAGGTGTTGCGTAAGCACAAAGTAATATAATTCTGCTTATATATACTGCATATGTAATACCAACCTTAAAATTGATCAGAAGCACACACTTACTAGCTTCCTTGAATTGCTTCCTTATTTTCTTAGTTTTATAAAATTCAAACACAGAAATAGAAGTCTATGGCTCAGATTTCAGCTGCTTTTCCCTAGTGGTAAGAAATAAATCTATTTCCATCCCAAGTAGACAATTATGTAAGCAGCCCCAAATTTTCCACTCCCCCTTCCTACCCAACACAAAAAGAATGAAGGGCCTTCATTCAAGCCTTCAGTCAAGCCACTTT